ATGAATAAATGCAATAAAAAATCAAAACTGATAAATCTCGAATGAAAAAAATCGATTTAAATCGATTTAAATCCGTTTTAATCCCCTTAAAAACAAAAACAAACTAGGACTGGAAAAAACGCATTTAAATTGATTTAAAATCGATTTGGATGAATTTTTTTAAGCTCGGATTTAAGATCATTTTAAATCAATTTTAAATCGATCCAAATCAATCTTCATCTTTTTTATCTAATCCTTGTACTTTTTTCATACAAAAATTGATCTAAATTTAATCAACGTACTTTTTTCATTCTAAAATCGATCCTAATCCATTTTTGTCAGTGCGGGTTGATCCGTTTGGTTCTTTTTAATCAATCTTTAATCCTTCTAGCTGGCATCAAAATTATAACCCTATATATTATTTAATTGAAGAGAAAAAGACAAAATGTAGAAAAAAATATATCATTCAATTATCTACTTGATGAAATGGAGTTTTGGCTGGTTTTTGAATTTTTATACTTAGATTCGGAGACTCTATAAAATATGGCAATTTTTACTAAAACGTAGTTTGTTGGAAAAAAACTATTTTTTATTAAAATTTTCCTTTTCTGTCATTTGTTTCATTTTAGTTCATGGATGTTCGCCCGCCAAAAACCTCCAGAACAGCAAAAAAAGAATTGAGTCAAAAATTGGCAAAGCGTTTTGATTTGGAAAGTTATCGCCAACATCGACCAATGTTGTTTTTTAACTATGATTTCGATAGGCAACTTAAAATGAATTTTTTGCACAAATGAGTCTGAAAAAAAAAGTGTCTGGACATAAACTGGCGACCACTACTGATCACACACTCTTGTAAAATTATTGTTCGGGTGGGTTTTTTTTCTTCAGACAAATTTCGACTTTTTAACTAGCCATTTTTGACGGAAATGTTTTTATATCATTCAAAAAGTATTGTTGTTCTGAGCTTAAAATTGAAAAGATATTTCACCTGTGATCATTTTTCGTAAAGTTATGGGGGTTTAAAGATTGCCAGTTTGGCCAATTTGGGACAATTAACGCGCGATATATTATTTTTTAGAAATCGTTCGAAATTGGTTGAAGAAAGCTTATTTGCCATAGTTGATTAGTTAATAGGAGCGAAATTTCTTCTTTTGGTCTTTACATGGCGTGTGAGGTGTTGATTTTCACACAAAATTTCAAAATTTAGAAAAAAAAATTTTCATTTATTTTATTGCATTTAATATATTAATGATATTTATGTAATCACTGCTCGATAAACGTCAAAAGGCATTCGGAACATTCAGGGCTTCGCCCTGATACGAGCAGTCTTGTTCATATTCAGCCTCGAACTTAATTTTTCCATAAATTTGATATTAGCCAAGCAATTACTTGTATCAGGGTAAAAAATGAATATTCTGACTGTTCCTCAATAATTTTGAAATTTTTTTTAAAAGTTGTTTGAAAAAGATTAAAAAGTGATTTAAGATCAAAAAACAAAAGTTCAGGTTTATTAAAGAAACTTAAGAGGTTGATGTAAAGTTCAAAGTAAAGCTACTAGCATCTAGTAACGTACAAGGGGTTCCTTAGCCGGAAAAAATTGCCACCTACGCAGTTTTTGTAGAAAATGATTTGCAAGTTAAAAAATCCCAAATTAAACAAATTGACAAATTAAAGCCCCCATAACTTTTCAAAAATTAATTTAACTGAAATTTTTCCTTCCAATTTTGAGCTCAAGATGCTATTGTTTTTAGATGCTGTGAATAAAAGAGGCTGATTAAAAAATCTAAAAGTGTCTGAAAAAAGTCCGAAAAGCCTCACCAAGCAAAAAAAAAGATTTTTTTTTTTTAGTTTTTTCTACTTATCAAAATTCTTGTTTAAATTAGATCCTCAATAGACATCGTAGTCTTACTTATGATCTGACTTATCTAGGATAATCAAAAGAAATTACAGCAATGTACATTTCTTCATCTTAAAAATTACTTGATGATATACAAGTTCGAGACTTCGAGAAATAAATTCTCTCTCATGGTCCCCCATCTTTGAAGCTTGTCATCCTATCTTGAAAACAGAATGAAGCATGGCTCAGAGTTATGTCCATTTGTTGTCATTATTTTCATATTGATATATAAAAGTTTGTTTTTCATTTGTTTTGGTATTTTGGTTATTTAGAAATTCATGCGAAACAAAATAGCTTTCTCTCAATCAAAGTCTCACACGCATTTAGCAAAGGCAACGGTCAACTGTCTAGCATATCAAACTGTTGTGAAAAATTTAGATTAAATTATAGAAAATTTGTTAATTTTCAAAATAAATGATTATAATTCTTACAGAGACGACTTTTGTTTCAAAAACTTATTGTGACATTAGAACGCGGAAATTTGATTTCTTCTGAGTTGGAGATTGATTGAACACAAAACCACAGTATAAACTGGTCGATTGTCTTCTAGACTTGATCAATTGTCTGACAAAAGGTAATCATAATAGAAAAAAAAATCAGGCTATTTATCAAAAAAGATTGCTTGAACAGTGCATCTACAACCAGTATAAATAAGCCTGAACTATAACCACGACAGTTTCTGAATAGAAAGTTGTAGTGTGTTTTAAGCTCCTCACTCCAATTTTCATCGGTTTTGGTATCTTTCATCGGTATCTTATTTATATATATATATATATATATATATATATATATATATATATATATATATATATATATATATATACACACAAGACATCAAAATACTCTTATAACTCACTGCGATGATGGTATTGAAGTTTTAAATCCAACACTGAAGATTTCAAAGCCTAGAGAGCATCAAGCAGCACAATTGGAATTGAAAACTTGGCTAAGAAATTTTTGAGGTTTATTGAATTTTGGCCAAAACCGATGAAAATTGGAGTGAGGAGCTTAAAACACACTACAACTTTATGTTTAGAGAAATCTGAAATTGAACCAGAAACTTTCGTGGTTCGAAATCAGGCTTAATTATACTGGTTGTATATGCACTGTTCAAGCAATCTTTTTTGGTAAATAGCCTGATTTTTTTTTCTATTATGATTACCTTTTGTCAGACTATTGATCAAGTTTAGATGACAATTGACCACCTGATACTGTGGTTTTGTGTTCAGTCAATCTCCAACTCAAAAGAAATCAAATTTTAAGCGTTCTAGTGATCACAATAAGTTTTCGAAATGAAAAGTCGTCTCTATAAGAATTATAATCGTTTATTTTGAAAATTAACTAAATTTTCTATATTTTAATCTAAATTTTTCACAACAGTTCGATATGCTAGACGGTTGACCGTTGATTTTGCTAAATGCGTGTGAGACTTTGATTGAGAGACAGCTATTTTGTTTTGCATGAATTTCTAAATAACGAAAATACCAAAACAAATGAAAAACAAACTTTTCAACAATCTTTGATTTTTTATATTTTCTCTTATACGCAATGTGAATTTGATATCAAAAAACTTCGCATCTATTATCCTCTGACTAAGAAAAATTATTGGGAACCAGCTCAAAAGCCATTAAAATTTTGACCCGCTACTGAATATTCTATCTATCACTTAAAATGAATCGATTAAAATCAAATTTTAACGGATTAGAATATCACAAAAAAGTTTTTGAAACAAAAAGTCATCTCAATAGAAATCATAAACAATTATTCTGACAAATAACCAATTTTTCTATAATTGAATAATTTCTACAACAGTTCAGTATACTAGACAGTTGGCCGCTGAGTTTGCTAAATGCGTGTGAAATTTTGATATTGTTATTTGACTGATTGAAAATGAAATAAAATATTTGCCGAAAGATTCATAAACATCAATTAAATTTTTCTATTTTTTGTGTTTTTCGACTGATCATTATTGTGCCACTCCAATGTACTCCAAGCCTTTCAATAAAGGATAAGAAGTTTGAGCAATCCGAACACAAGTTCCATTAACAGGTGTAAATAAAATAACAAGAAGGCTGCTGGTATCAGGGTGAAGCCCTGAATGTTCCGATTGCCTTTTAAGGTCTATTGAGCAGTAATAACATGAAAAAATTAAATGTAATTAAAAAAAGAAAATTCTTTTTCTAAAATTTTAAATTTTTTTTATGAAAATCATCCCCCCACACGCCATATGAAGTACAAAAGGATAGAGTTTGCTCCTGTAACAAATGATCACAGGTAAAATATCTTTTCAAATTTAAGCTCAGGGCAGCAATACTTTTTGAATGGTATAAAAAATCCGTCAAAAATGGCTAGTTACAAATTCGAAACTTTCTGAAGAAAAAAAACCACCAGGAGCACAAATATTCCGTTACTTTCGTTACGAAAGTCGGAACAATAACTATCGGAGTCATCCGCAATTTTCAACAAAATAAATTAAACGCTGAGCAACATGTTGCTGGAATCCGCAAAAAAAAATGCGGAACCCGCATTTAAGTTACGGATTTCGCATACATATTGCAGATGCCACTTGCATGAGGTTTTCGCGGAATCCATTAACAAAATTTATCCTGACTTGTTAATGGATTCCACATAATGATTTGTTATTTAATTAACCAAAAGTTTGCTGGCTGCTTTCCTTGAGCTAGTATTTGAAGCTACACTATGTTTTAACTGTTAGTCTTCATATTCGACAATCGCAAAAAAAAACAGAAAAAAAATCTTGTTGAGAGTTCCGCAAAACTTTTGTTCTAGTCCCAATTAGCCAGCAAACGTTCTATCGATAGTTAGTGCACAATTATACACTCTACTGAATGGAATAATGAACTATTCACGTACTTAAGTAACAGAGAAAATTTCGCGTTCTTAATTGGAAAGAATGGGACATCATTTTGCGTTCTAAATTGGAAAGAATTGGACGTCATTCGTTAGTTTTTAGTCTCAAATGCTAACTTTTAAAAGACTATTGCATTACAACTAACAATCACGGCTGACTATTGATTTTATAGTTAAATCATCAATTGAGGATTTCGAATGCGACTTCAACTGTCAATCTTTTCAAAAAGAGTATTGACTCAAGCTCGTGAAAGTCATTGTTTCCAATAGCAAATATTATTGGATTGTCAAATAAACAATAATTAAATGGGTTTGGTACCAGGTTGCTAGCATTCTTCAGAAAAAGAATCAAACTTGAGAACATTTGTATTTTACTTTCAACCGCTATCACGTGGTTTTCCGGCGCCATTTTTGGTGAAAAACGCCTGTAAAATATTATTATTCGGCACAGAAACTTTTTGCCTGTTTTCATTTGCTTGTGTAGTCTGCAGTTACTGTATGACCTCTTAGTCCTATTATTGCCGGTTCCCTAAAAATTATAGTATACTGGTGCCCCTAAGTTTGTGAAAAACCAAAAACGCTATTGATCAAATGTGCACGATTGTTTCGAAGTTTTTTAGCGACGTTCTTTTTTCATGGACTCATTCTCATTTCATGAACCCAACTATCACAAATAACACTAATTAATAAATCCTCAAGCACTCCATTTAAAGCAAGTAATCAAAGACGGAGTGATAAAAAAAATAGAAAAAGTAATATACAAGTAATAAAAACTCCAGTAATAAAAAGCGGATTGCTGATAGTTAATTCTGAAAATTTAATACACAATAATCCAAAAGTTTGGTTCTTAGTCATGCTGTAAACTCAAACCTCAGATATGGGATACCAGCAGATATTTTTGAGTCACTGCGTGCGATCGGCAGGCTCCGCTGCCAAGCGACTGGACGACATGGTAAGATTCACAATCAAAAATTTGCCCTAATTTTTTGTTCAGTTTGTTATTCATTCGATACTCAGAATCTCCAAAACTTTAATCAACCGTACAATCCCCCCCCCCCAAATTGATTTAAGGGGGAGGAAAATATGAATTTTTCAGGAAATAACTTTGATTATATCTTAGACTTATAGAAAATTAAAATTATTTAGAGAACCTTGATTAAAGTTACCTTAGCTTAGGTTAACAGCGCGGCTACAAAATAAATTCATTTAGAGAAAATGGATTAAAATTACAATAGCTTAGGTTATTAACGCGGCTAGGGGAAAATTCTACGGTTGGTCACTTAAGGGAGGGATTGTACGGTTGATCCCAAAACGTTCTTTCCGTATCAAAAAAAAATCTTCCGGAATTTTCTTCATTTAGACGACAAAATTGATATTTAATATAAAAAATAAAAGTTTCTTAATCCGATGATTAAGTTTTTTCAAGTTATTTTTCAACTTCTATCACTACCTCCATTGCGCAAAAAAAATCATTACGAGGCCAAATGTGCATTTTGTGAATAGTCAGCGGATTCCGCAACAGGCAAAAATCAGATTTATGTTCTCCTTATAATCGCTCGTTGCTTTCAATGTGCCGACAAAAAATTACGTTACAGGGATCCACTGAAATTTTGTAAGTGGAATCCACTTTCTTTTTGGAACATGTTTAAAGACTTGTCTCTGGGATCGAAGAACATACACACACAAAAATGTGCACCTATCCAGTCTACAGTTTGACCTCCTAATGATGGTTTGATTAATCAGCTCGCCTCAATTCAATTCTCGATGTTCTGTTATACAAATAATTTCACTGCATTTGCTAGACGTAAAAAAAATCGTGCAATACAATTATATGGGTCCAACTTTTGAAGTGTTTTTTTTTTCAAGTCCTATCAAGTTTCGTCACTTCCTATCAAATTTCAGCTCGGGTTGTCAATATCTTTCACTCTGAGTCTCAGTCATTTTCCACCAATCAATGTATCCGAACACTATGGCCTAGACGGTCTCGGTCAACTTTTCTCCGGCGGCAGTTAGACAGTCTCGCAGGTCGCGGACGCATGCCCTCTGGTATGTAAAAAGTGGAAATACTAAGTCTCATGACTTTCAAAGACCCTCACCGCATCGCAGAAACCGAAATTACTAATTTCAATCGCGGTGGTCTGAAAACCCAGACATTTGGCCGCGATAGTCTAAAATGCCAAAATTAGTTGCGATATTGTAGATATAAACCCACAGTTTCGATCATTCCATGTTTTAGGTGAGGCGCAAGGGTCTGTCAACGTTCATCTGTGTGGACATGGAGGCTGGCGATGGATTCAGAGAAGCCATAGTGGGCAATGCGGCCAACTGTAAAGTCATGGTCCTTTTCATAGACCAACAATGGGCACAAAGGTCAGTCGCAGGGCACAATTTAGGGAGAAGAGGCATGCTGGAACCCCCACCCCTGCAGTAGATGCCTATATTATACTTGGATATTTGACGTTATCATGAATTAAGTAACATATGCTTATTTGCAAGACCATCAATATTGTTAAGCCATGTTTGACGGATCGCCAGTGGCGACAGTAACGCATTTGAGTTTATGTTGATTCTTTTAAGTCTTCTCGTATTACGTGACATACGAAGTATCGCATTGGCAATACTTATACATGGTTCTATACGTCGCAATCACAAACGGAATCGAGCTATCGCAGTATGGAAGTATTTTGGCATGTCCTCTCAAAGGAACCACCGGTACCATGGGAAGACGGGGCGCAAAAATTTCAATTGCTGTTTATTGCAAACGAAGAAGTAGACATCGGAGATTTGTTTGATAAAAACGATTTGACGGAAAATAACTATCTTACATGGGAAGAACAGGTAGGAAACGAGGATGCGCCAGTCAGATAGGACAAAATAATGCTGTGATTCAGACTTGTGGTGAGGAAGCGATTAGTCGGGTCGATGATGAAAAATATTTTCAAAGGTACTACTAGTCCCGAAGCAGATAAGAGACTATAATCCAAGTTGTTCTTATCACTGGGGAAATAAGGCTAAATGTAATTTTATTAAAAAATACCCTCATAAAAAGATTGTAAGTATCAGTTTTACAGAGATGCGGAAGTTGCCGTTTGACTCTCTCTTAAAGAAACCTTATTTTACCTATTGTAGATTCTTGCTAGTTGGAAGCAAACAACGACAAAATGAGGGCATGGAGCAATTTCTTAGCTGGCACGTTAAGCGGTATATCCGGGGCTATAGTTTCGGCACAAAAGAAGAATCTATTTTTCACGTTGTATTCATTTTCAACATGCAGAAAAAAAGACCTAAGGAACCAGTTGTACGTTGAGCCACGCCGATATGGTTTAATGTGATAAGGTTAGAGAAACACGTGAGTTATTGTACTCAAGGTATAATGGAGGTATCTCAAAGTTTGAATGCGATCGTTCTACCCTGAAAGCCAAAAATTTTCAGGGGTTCAAGCGGGTTACAACAAGAGAAAACTAGTGAATGGAGTCATAGGACAACTACTTGACAAGTGTCAAAGTTGCGAAGGTTGATTGAAACCTTACCACAGAAAATTTTTCGCAGCTCGATTAGGAGTGCTGGTCATTAGGACGGAGTGGGATCCAGCAAGGAATGAAACTCGGAAGATCCTAGATTTCAGGATGGTGGAAGCCATTGACAAACCGAATTTTAAATAGTTTGTGCAAGTCAGTTTCATTTGTTTTGCAAAAGAAACTCGACGAGTTGAAAATTTTAGACAAGTAAAAGTCCGGAAACACCATTTTAGTGCGTCAGTTGATAAGTTTGTGTTGATTGAACGCATATTTGTAGATATTTAGAGGAGTGCTAGATCACACAGGATGCAGGATTCTTCATTAGGGAGCGGGGACAATGAAACAAACTAGGAAACAAAGTTATCGCAGCGTTAGTCATTGAAAAAAGTCAGAGGAAATTTACAATAACAACAAATGGTGTGTATAGCAGTGCAAGCGAGATTCTAGTGCAGTTTCTGCCAGTACAACATATAATAAACAAGACTGCTCGTATCAGGGCGAAGCCATGAATGTTCCGACTGCCTTTTAAGGTTTATGGAGCAGCAGTAATAACATTAAAAAAATTAAAGGAAATTTTTTTTTAAATTTATTTTTTATGAAAATCATTCCCCCACACGCCATATAAAGTAAAAAAGATAGATTTTGTTCCTTGTAACAAATCAATTATGGCAAATAAGTTTCGTTCAACCAATTTGGAACGATTTATAAGACGGATTAAATCTCCGCTTACGCGTTAATAGCGCGAAATATATCGCGCGTTAATTGTTCCAAATTGGCCAAAATGGCAATCTTTAAACCCTCATAACTTCACTAACAATGATCACAGGTAAAATATTTTTTTAAATATAAGCTCAGGACAACAATAGCTTTCGAATGATATAAAAAAATTCCGTCAAAAATGGCTAGTTAAAAAGTCAAAATTTGTCTGAAGAAAAAAAAACCCACCCCGAGCACAAATATTCCGTTACTTTCGTATCGAAAGTCGGAACAATAAGTGTATGAAAACGCAAAGAGGTAATAAAAATAGTGAAGTGAATGCAATTTTGAAAGGAAAGAGAGAACTCATTCATGTACCACCAGAAGTAGAGGAAATTATAACGAATCTGTTGAAGGAAGGCATATATTTAAACTCGGAAATGCATGGGAGATTTTTTGATCCTGCCAACTGTTTATGTGGTAAACGAAATGGATTGGTAAACACATATATTGAAATTGTTATGAAACGCCAAGATGAACAAGACTGCTCGTATCAGGGCGAAGCCCTGAATGTTCCGACTGCCTTTTAAGGTTTATAGAGCATAGTAATAACATTAAAAAATAAATTTAAATGAAATAAAATGAAATGAAAGTTTTTTTTCTAAATTTTGAAATTTTTGAAAATCATCACCCCACACGCCATATAAAGTATAAAAAGATAGATTTCGTTCCTTGTAACAAATCAATTATGGCAAATAAGCTTCGTTCAACCAATTTGGAACGATTTATAAGACGGATTAAATCTCCGCTTACGCGTTAATAGCGCGAAATATATCGCGCGTTAATTGTCCCAAATTGGCCAAAATGGCAATCTTCAAACCCCCATAACTCTACGAAAAATGATCACAGGTGAAATATCTTTTCAAATTTGAGCTCAGGACAACAATACCTTTCGAATGATATAAAAAAATTCCGTCAAAAATGGCTAGTTAAAAAGTCGAAATTTGTCTGAAGAAAAAAAAACCCACCCCGAGCACAAATATTCCGTTACTTTCGTATCGAAAGTCGGAACAACAAGTTAGTTGATACTTTAGCGTTGGCTATTAGCGGAAACGCTACAAAATCGAGTTGTTTTTCCGATACTGATCTAAAAGACGCTTATTCTCAGATGTTTGATTACTTTCATCCCGAGTTATCGAAGCCCATTTCGCTTGCTTCAAAATTTTTGAAGGAAGCGGAGTTACATATAAAATAATTCCAAGCGGTACATTGGGCGGTGGTCTCATTATCAATGTTTTTGTTTGGTAAAAACATGGAACAAAAGTCTCATTATCAAAGCTCTATTCACGATAAAAACAGCTTACTAATTTTTTGTTCCGACTTTCGATACGAAAGTAACTGAATATTTGAGCTCGGGTTGGGTTTTTTTTTCTTCAGACAATATTCGACTTTTTAACTAGCCATTTTTGACGGATTTTTTTTATCATTCAAAAGGTATTCTTGTCCTGAGCTTAAATTTGAAAAGATAGTTCACCTGTGATCATTTTTCGTAAAGTTATGAGGGTTTAAAGATTGCCATTTTGGCCATTTTGATCAATTTGGGACAATTAACGCGCGATATAATTCGCGCTATTAACGCCTAAGCGGAGATTTAATCCGTCTTATAAATCGTTCCAAATTGGTTGAATGAAGCTGATTTGCAATAATTGATGTGTTACAAGGAATGAAAACTATCTTTTTGCACTTTTTATGGCGTGTGGGGGGATGATTTTCAATTAAAAAAATTTCAAATTTTAGGAAAAAATTTTTTCATTTTATTTTATTTCATATAATGTTTTTATGTTATTACTGCTGCTCCATAAACCTTCAAAAGCAGTCGGAACATTCAGGGCTTCGCCCTGATACGAGCAGTCTTGTAAAGCTTTATTATCTTGTTTGTCTGCACAATTGAAAAAAAACCACACAGATACGGCTAGTACGGTGAGCAAACTGATTTTTTCCTTTCGACTAGGAAATAGAACCTTTCCCGGGAAAAACATGAAGTTGGAAGACTATTTTAGTAGGGACCCAGTAGAAATTGCTCCAAAAGTGTCAGAACTGGATAATAGTGTTGTAGCCGCTCAAATTAGCGCGGTTAATAGTCTATGAACACCATCGGTTTAAAGGAATGAATTTGCTACCAAACTGGCAAAAAGTATCGTCATGTTCAGTACAATGGACCCCATGACAAGAGCTTTTGGTCATGCTGAGTTTTGGAAAGGTGATTCAAAAATCTGGTATATCGATAAGTTTAGGCTCGAAATCAATCAACGCAGATGCAATGGTTCAAGCGACGCGAAATCTGCAATGGCTCAAGCGAGGGATGAAAAAAGGGGATCTAGACCCACGCAAGGAGGCATGTTTAAAGACCACGATTGTTACGACACACTCCCGAATAGTGCTCGGGGGATAGCCACTACTCCAATACTGATCGATTGCTCATCCGACAGATTCATGTCGACGGAAAGTTCCATCGTTGCGCGGCCGATACAAGCGGAAACAATTGAAATGTCAATTAATTTGGAGCAACCGTCATTGTTAGTAAGCAAGATTGTGATACACCAAAGAAATTGGAAGTTCGGTGAACATGGACACTGGGGCCCGGGACAAACAGAATAGCTGATATTTTGATACACCGTAAGCCATCAAAACTGAACTGTCCAATACTCCATGAAGGGATATCTCAGAGGGAATGCAAGAACGCAGCAGCCCGTTGACGAAATATCGAAGTCGGTATTACCTTATAGCATAGGGCCGTTACGCGAACATGAACCGCAAACGTTTTTGAATTAACATATATTTTACAAGTGCGCGGTAAGTTGCAGCCAGTTAACGTAGTGCAGCCATTTTGAAATAACTGGCTAGAGAGATTTTCAACTGGCTAGTTTTCCTCCGAGATCTCTCTAAAGGTTAGAGAGATTTCGGAGGAAAACAGAATAGTGAACCATTTAGTTTGAGGTCATTTAGCCGGAAAAGAGGCGAAGCACATGCTCAAGATCGCAGTGAGATTAAGAAAATGCCTTTCAGTCCAAAGGAAGTCCCAAGCGCAAAGAAAAAACGCGGAGGATTCATGTCGTGATAATGATGTGCCGGTTTCCTTGGGAGACTACCAAGGTTCAGGACGACATCCAGGGGTTGGACGAGGAGGTCTCAGGTCGGTCATTTCGTTGATGTGCTGAGAAAATTGCGAAGGAATCTTAAACACATGAGGCGAGTATCTTCGATCACAGTTGCACCAGGAATAATGGTGGATGGCTTCAGGTCAGAAGCGCTTTACCAGGCTTTGGAAGTTGTGATCAGAGCAGCCAGAAAGAAACAATATTGGGTAACTTAGTAAATGTGGCGCAGGCAGGAACTCAGAAAACACGCGAGGTGAGAGCTACTAGGTTAAATAGCAGCGGAGTCTGTTGTTTGGGGGCCAGTGGCTAGAAGAGTGAACCAGTGGCACCTGATTTGACACACGGCGGTCAAATTGAAGATATGGTTCAGCAATGCCTGAAGCAAAAAGTTTGAGCGAAGTGTTACCGACGGTCATACTTGAGACAAACGAAAAGCCGAAGGCCGCAATGTTTGAAGCAGCGGCTGATTTATCCCACGTCAGCGGGGAATCAAGTCAATGATTATCTATTGATGATTTAGACATTGTGACAAATTATCTGCCATTAGCTTGACCACTGAGGACCTCTGTCAAGCTAGTAATATTGATTGAGTTTGATATTGGTTTGATTTAATTGAAGGGGGAATCTAGTGGAAACCTATATTTTACCTAGATAAATGATGTTATTATTCATTACGAAACATATGTTTTCTACCAGTATTTAAGTATTTTTTTAGGTTATGCTTATCGTATTGCCAGTCGCGGCGATAACAAATTAGATTTTAAGTTTAATCTATTACGTTTTCTCTGATTACGTGACGTTACCCGCGTTGGCAAAAAATGCTAATCATACAATTTCATATTGTGAAAAAAATGGTTATCATACTATTTCATGCTATTTCAAACATCAAAAAAAAATACTAAAAAAATATCAAGATAAGTATTTTTTCCATACTATGAAACATTATAATAAGCAATTTTTGACACACTCTGGAATTAAATAACAAGCGTTTTGCACTACTTTTTATCACAAAAATTTTATGAAATAGCAAAAGCAATTTTTTGTTCTATGAAACTGGATGATAAGCATTTTAACATACTATGAAGTTGTATGATAAACATTTTTTCCATAAATGAAAATACAAAAAATATTTATTCGAATTTTTTTGTTTCATCCGAAACACTAGCCAAGGATTTTTTGTCCCAAGAAAAACTGGCAGTTACCACGCATATAAACTGCATTTGGTAATTTTAGCCATGTTAATTAGTTTAAACATTTTTATATGGCGTTATATACCAAAAATATAACTTTTTATATATGGCTAGGTGCTTTTTAGTTTGAAAATTTTTGTGGTTGAGAAAAAAGGCCCTTTTTAAAAAAATATATATCTTTTTCTCGGCATATGAAACAATAAACATAATCGTGTTTACCAAAAAAAAATTTATTTTTGTATTTTTTTGGATTTTCAAGGTGAAAAACTCATGGTGGTCTACGTTAAAAACACTAAAAGTCAAACTTTGAATGCAATTTTTGTTCTTTAAGTACATATTTGAGCACAAAAGGAAGTTGGCAACCAAAAAAGGGATTACAAATTTTTTACCGCAAGAATTTTCCGACCGAAACTGAAATTAGCTTTGTGACAGTAAGTTGATCTTAATCACTGGAAACCCCTATTAAACTCATTTAAAACTGCTCAAACAAAATTTCAATTGATTTTTAAATTTTCTAATTTTTCTCTAAAAAATACTTATCGTACAATTTCATATATGAAATTTATATGATAAGCAATTTTTCGAACAAAACTAAATTCATTTTCTTGATAGTTATATTGGTCTTTGTCATTGAAGGTCTTCATTAACCTCATTTTTATTTACCGAAACATGTTTTTAGAGAAGTTTTTGAACAAAAAAATTGATAACAAAAAGCTTATCATACAATTTTCATCCATGAAAATTGTATAACAAGCATTTTTTCATCAAAAATTTCTTATCAGGTTTCACATAGCCAGAAAGTTTCAAGTGAGTCAAATAGAACAAAAACGTGTAGTAAAAATTTTTAAAACAGTTTTCAAATTTTGTATGAAAATTGTTTGGTAAGCATTTTTTTCACAGCGCCATATATGAAATTGTATGAAATTGTATGATTATGGTTTTCCTTTTATGGACGTCAACGCGGGTACTTAGTATAGCTTGAGCTAACTTCTACTTCTTTCCCCTACAACTATGATGACATACTTGTGACTACCAAACATTTTTCGAAAGTGCGACAGAATTTATGAAAGATGTATGATAAAAAGTCTTGAATCAAAGTGTATGTCCAATAAAACTCAAATTTAAGTAAAATTTGACTTCGAAATTCACCATAAAACATCAGTTACTTCAGAATAGACAGTTTCATTAAAATGATTAAGAAGTTCTTAAGATAAGTTCCTAAGTTTGTTTTCCAGTAAGGAGTGCAAGAGTGAATTCAACTGCGCCTATTCGTGCTTCAATCGGGAAGAGTGGCCCAAGTTTGTTCCGATTGTGATCGGAGGGTTCGGCTGGATCAAACCCAATACTTACCCTGTGGCACACTGCATCACTTCAAACTTCCAATGTCTCGTACTTGATGGTGAGATTAACAAAATGTACCATTTTGAAATAGTTGTTAACCACTCATTCTCTATGCACCGCAAGGAAGCTTTCAGCAAAAAACTCTTGGAATCGTAATCGAAATGAACAGCTGCTTCTTTATAGCTTGGAATCTCGGTTTGCAAGTTTTTGTTTGCACTTTGATTGGATCGCGATGCGAACTACTTTTCTCGGTGCGTATTCATAGGTTCCAAAATGAAAAATCAGTCCCATAGGTTCCAAGATAAAATAGCAGTCATATAAGTCCCAAATTTTTTCAATTGGTCAAAAGACTAAATTAGCCGAGTCTCGGTTTAAGGTCGCCGGTGGAAAAAATGAGGCCCAAATTTCTACAATATGAATGCTTTTGCATGTTTTTCCGATAATCGTTTTAATGCAATTGGGATCAAATGCGGTATATTTCAATAATAATATCATTTTCATTAAGCATAGACCTTCGTACCCTGTAACAGCAGCCGACGTAAGTTTCATACCGGTCCAAGAGCAGGTATTTCAAATAACCAAATCGAACGTTCGAAGTTCTAATGAGCAAATAAAACTTCGTCCTGTTCCAACTGTTTGCTGTGAACAGTTCGGTGAAATTTTTCTTTGTTAAAAGAAAAAAAAACAGTTCTTTGTTATGTGTATTATTTTGCGCAAAACTTCTATGAGGAGCTACCTATTTGGATGTAAATCATTTTAGTTGTTATTTATATTCTTGAGAGTTTCTCATATTAGTATCAAGTGCTAGCAAATACCTGCCTGTCAGTCAATCTAGATCTGCATGTATGCTCACCTCTAATTCAGTGTCTGGATTATACGTTAGAAGAAACAGTTGAATTAACATTTTAACGTGTTTTATCAACCCTTGTTATGGCGCAGCCAGCCGATGAATGAGGAAAAACCCCTAGAATGAGGAAAAACCCCTAGAAGAAACAGTAGCTTTCTGGTCTCCGAACCAAGCGGAGCCACAACTGCTGTGGGAACATTGGGAACAACGATTTCACTGGGCAATGGTGGCGAATCATGTATTAGTTTCATCGCACTAACACTTTGATTCTTCATTAACGGCGACAGAGATCGCTGCACTGGAGAGTGTTGGGGGAAAACCCAGGGAAGACGGGTAAAAAACTCTGATCTCTAATATGTACTTCTATAGAGAGCTGAGTGGAATCGCGCCGAAGTGTAACTTGGGAACACAGGAATGGAAACTGGTTCGAGACATATCCATCTTCAATATGCGGAACAAGGACGCCGACGTCAAAGGAGACATTGGACCTATCACAATCGTGGGGGAATCGGAACAACTGATCGGAAATGCTGCAATTGAGTGAGATCAACTAAATTTCATCCCGGAACACCAACAACGATGCCCAGCAAGATCATTTACATGTAAATTCTGCAAGAAAGTGCGCCATTGAGAGAAAAATGCCGGGGAAAGAAATTGTCGCGAGAGGGACAGTCAGTAGGGCTCATCCAGGAGGATGGAATGTTTGCAGGGGATGATAGCATCTCGGATGAAGTAAGCTCACAAGACGCAACTTCCGTAGTATTTGTAAGAAAAGGATCATCACAGGGCGTCGCAGAGCTCAGAAGATTATATGGTAATTTCATTACGACATGGATACCGAAGAGTGGATACCGATATTTACAATAGCTGACCTACAGACAACCCTGGGAAAAGCCAGCATTGAGCTTAAGCAGAAAAACACCGAGGACGACGAACTTCAAGACAACAGGAACAACCGGATTAACTTGCTAGGAAAAGGGGACGTGGATTTGGCATCAAATGGATGCAAGACCAGAACAGAGATCAGATTCATCGGAGGAAAAAGACCGTCGATCGTGAGACGCGACCTCATGGGAAGACTGGACCTCCAACTCATGCAGAATAGTCCAGTGGGGTTTGACATGATCATCTAAGGGACACAAGGCAACGGCGGTGACGAGCAAGCAGGTGATCCAGAGGATCAAAACATGGACCTTGGCAACAGTATTTCAGTAAGCTACTTCCAAATTTTTTACCAGAAAAAATAAAATTAGGAACTATAACGTACAGGCTGAACTTTTTAATAACCTCGTACCAGTACAACAAAAAGGTCGACCAGTGCAGGTAACACTCCAAGACAAACTGGATGCAGAGAATGACAAGCTGCTGGCCCAAGGTCACATAGAAAAATTGCAGGAAGGTTTCGATCGATATTTTGTTTCGCCGATTGCAATTAATATAAAGAAAGACGGCTCCGTGAAACTAGCGCCCGAATAACTCAATTGGAAAATGCACAAAATAAAAATCATGTGCCAAACATAGAAGAGATTGTAGACATAATAGGACAATTTTTTTCAGAAAAAAGAAAGGGGACGTGTGTTTTACCACAATGGACTTAGACTTAACATTTGCGTACGGGCAGAAACGAGCGTGCACTGTAACTTCTCACTAGCGTGCAGGCGAGCGACAGAAAGGTACAGGGACTAACGTCAATGCTGGCAGATTTCCAGACAGCATTCGACTCAAATTTCAACGAGTTTCCGCAATAGAAATAGTTTACCGACGACATATTGGTAACAATCAAGGGAACCGAAATCCAGCACATCTCCATGCGTGAGAAAATTCTTCGGCATTTAAATTGCGAGAATATATCGCTGAAATTTCAAAGGCGCAAATTCGCTAAGGGCCAGTGCTAATGGCCCGGACACCGAATTGCAGCCTCTTAAAGGAAAAATGGCACCAATCAACGCGCTAGCGGCTCCAACGACAGTGACCCAATGAAAAACATTCTTGTGCTCATTTCACAGCTACATAAGTACCCTCCAGCAATAGCAGAACTATCAAAACCATTAAGATTATTTGAGAGCGAAAAGAACGACTACAAATGGCCTAAAGAGAGCGAAATTGCGTTTCAAAATATTAATCTGGGGATAGCGAATGTAGTCAAATTGAAATACTTCGACATACATAAGGAATGCAGAATCGTATGTGACGCTAGTTGTTTGAACAATTAGCGTTGTGACGCTAGTTGTTTGAATAATTAGCGTTGTTTGAACAATTTCCATCCGAAGTGTGGCTCCCAATCTTATTCGCATCACAATTTTTTAACGCAGCTGAAAAGAAATACTCTACCAAGGAATTGGAGATGTTGGCAGTCGGTCGTGTTGGGGGCTGAATCTTTCAGAAACGGTGTCCTAGGAAGACCATTTTCAATAATCAGCAATCATAAAGCCTTAATTTCACTACTAAAAGAAAACAACAAAAAGACCCTTTTTTTGAGACTAACAAGATAGCTACACAGACTGATTCTGTTCGATCTTGTCATAGAACATAAACCTGAAGCGAAAACTGTTATCGCAGATCATTTGTAAAGTTACCCAAGTGACCTACTAGAGCCAAGTAGTCATACGCAAACATCGACGGTTGAGGTCAGAAAGTCATGCGGAAGAAATCTAGCCAATAAGAATTGTCCAATTTGCAAACCGCATTTGTCAATCAAATCCATGGGACGGTCAGTGTAGGCTGTATATCGTTCGCCTAGAAGGCGGTCATTTAGTCGGAAATTTATGACTTAGAAAAAGTGATGAAAGCTCAAAATGTTCTTTCCCAGTGATAGAAATTGATTCAAATGTAATTTCTCCGAGCAGACTAGACCCTTATCTTGAAAGTAGCGACGAAATCACAGTAATTAACCAAACAATTGAAGCCATCAGCAAAAACAGACAAGACTGAAAAAAAAACAATGTTTATCAATTCCTTCAAAGTTTCCGGTTGAACTGTTTCCAGCAATAAATCATAACCAACGAACCAAATCAAATATTCAACGAGAATGTAAAATTATTTAAAAGTCTAGCTCATTGCCTGAACTATTTATTTTGGAGTTTATCGCTCCAAACATTCCAGCAGACGTGCCCTACTTAAAGCTAAAGAGGCAATTAATAAAGAAAAGACCAACCAGATCTCACTAAAGTGGGAAAATACTGGGCCCAGTACGCCAACGACCTCTTCTTAGGAGACAAATTTGTCTGGCTGGACGGACGACTATTAATCCCATTACCCCTGCAAACACCAGTAGAATACCCGATAGAAATTGATTCAAATGTAAATTCTCCGAGCAGACTAGACCCTTATCTTGAAAGTAGCGACGAAATCACAGTAATTAACCAAACAATTGAAGCCATCAGCAAAAACAGACAAGACTGAAAAAAAAAACAATGTTTATCAATTCCTTCAAAGTTTCCGGTTGAACTGTTTCCAGCAATAAATCATAACCAACGAACCAAATCAAATATTCAACGAGAATGTAAAATTATTTAAAAGTCTAGCTCATTGCCTGAACTATTTATTTTGGAGTTTATCGCTCCAAACATTCCAGCAGACGTGCCCTACTTAAAGCTAAAGAGGCAATTAATAAAGAAAAGACCAACCAGATCTCACTAAAGTGGGAAAATACTGGGCCCAGTACGCCAACGACCTCTTCTTAGGAGACAAATTTGTCTGGCTGGACGGACGACTATTAATCCCATTACCCCTGCAAACACCAGTAGAATCGAGGATCCGCTTCTATCATCACGGAAAACAGAAAATATTTGAGGCAGATCGAGATGTCTGGTTTTCGTATATGTACAGCAGTCGGGCAGCAAAAGTAACACAGTGCACAGATGCGTGTAATAATCTGAAAATGTTGTTGCAAATAGGAGATTTTAGAAAATTCCCCAAGCCAAAGGAACTTAATAAATGCATAGCATACAGATGGGTTTCTGGGGAAAATTATATCTATCACTACGGTCTTCTCAAAAAAATCATATAGACCAAGGGTCATGTTTCACGTCCAACAACGTTAGGAGTTTCTGCAATATCGAGGGAATTGAGCTCATCTACTCACCCGTAAACGATCACCGAGGCAGGGGTTGGGAGAGAGAACATTTGGCAGTATCAAAAAATTTGGCAGTACCGAAAATGAACACAAATCATTGAAATTAATGGTCGACAAAGCGTCAGACGCATAAAGTTTCTCCTCAAAGGCGATATTTAAGCTAACCCCGTTTTTGGCACACCACGGCCGGGAGGCGAATACCGTTTTACGTAATCTCATAAAAAAAACGAGTTTAAAAACTTGGATTGGAAAAACGTCCTAAAACAAAAAACGTCCTAAAACAATCTTAAGACTCAGAGCTCATTATGGTCACCTACTCGCATCATTTGAACTGGGAGGAGCGTTCAGACTCGCAATACGCCCCAACAATGAGGAAGTCGCTGGTCAAACTCAATAGCGATCATCAGGTTGACACAGACCAAGAAGAGGTACCGCAGGACGAACTGCAGAACCAAGGGGACAAGGACGCCCCCGGCAACTACCAGCGGACTACTATCACAACGCCAAACCGGTATAGAATACTAAAATCTAACATAGTATCTGAATCGAAACATACCATCAAACTGAAAAGCGTGTGTGTGCTTAGCAAAAGTGCCGTGACGATGAAGCCAAAGCCAGCAGTCACGAAGAAACGGAAACCGGCGACCATAACTGAGATGGTAGCTGGCGCAAAGCCGGGAACTCCATGAAACCCTAATTCGAAGGTGCCAAAACAATGCATTCACAAAAGTAAAAAGCGATCATTGGGCCATCGGACGACTAAGGACGTGCCACGAGAGGAAACGGTTGCAGCGGGACAAGGAAAGAGCTGGGCGATGGCGCATGACGAACGGGCCCATAAAGCACGGAAGCCGAAGGCAAAACAAGCGAGAGGCAACCAGGGAAAAACCCAACCAGACCCACCGTAGTAACGAAAGAACGTCTTTCGAATAGTAGTCAAGAGGAGGCGGAGTGCGAGACGCAAAGTTCAAGTTCGCAAACCAGGAAGAATAACAGGCGGCAGAAGCAAAATGAGAGGGGTGATGATTGAATCTACCACCAAAGAAAACCCAAGGCGTGGGGAGAAGCCGAAGAACCCAAGGGGTAACCCAAGCCGAAGAACCAATTAAAACTAGCAAAACTTTTTAACCCAGGTGGAAGGACAGCTTAAGCCTGAAAATGAAACTGCTTAAGCGTTGCTAATTTTCATTTCAAACTGAAATTACCTTGTATTTACATTTTGCATCCGTAGGGAAATGTGAGGAGCTGCCTGTTTGGATGTCAATCATTTCAATGATAATTTATATTCATGAGAGTTTCTCAAATTACTATCAAATGCTAACAGATAATTGCCTGTCAATTAACCTAGGTCTACCTTGTTGTTGACCTCTAATTCAGTAACTCGAGTATACGTTGAAAGAAACAGTTGAATTAACATTTTACCTTATCATGTTGTCAGCACTTGTTAGTTCCGGTTTTTAATTAACGCGTATACCGTAAGCGGCGGTTTATTCTTGCTCCACAATTGATAGTTCTGACTCTCGAATTATAATGAAATATACCTCCACTGATGTTTTGTTGTTCTTCAAACAGATGGTGAGTTTTAAGCTAAAATTGTTGACAGACATTTCAAAATCAAAAAAAAAATTTTATGCACAAAAAAGTTCCCTTCTATTCAAAAGAAAAATGGACAATAATCGGTTATAGTGTAGTTTCATGGATTTCTGTTTTTAAAATAAAAATGAACAAATTGGATTAAAAATCATCACATTGTCTAAACTTGCCACTAAAATCGGTTATATAGACAACATTTTTGTCAACAAAAATCCATTATAATGGATTTTAGTCCACGAATCTTCGGTGCGGGCTGTGCAAGAAATTTAAAACTGTCAAAACAATTATTAATGCAAGCGATCTGATCATTTTGGCCTTTGCTCTGATCTAGCAGTTTTTGTTCCGCCCATTGAAAATGGGAATGAACTTTGTATTCGGATGCGTTTTTTTTCTAGTTTTGTTTTCCACGCAAAATCAGGTACCACAAACAATGATCGGACTGAGTTGAGAGGTGTATCTTTTTAAAGGTTTTGCAGGCGTAATTTGAACCACATTAAAAAATTTTGAACAAATTTTTCCTGTGTGGATGAAATCCGCTTTTTGATTTTTCGTGTGAATAAAGCGAGCGAGCAGTCTTTTTACTGCTTAAAAGCTTATGATAGCCTAATTTGAAAAGTAAAAGCTTCGTTTTTATTTGGTTAACGTTTATAAACATTGAGTAATGTATCTTATTTTCAAAATCAAACATTTTCAAAATTCAAAAAACTGCAAAACAAAAAAAAAACATGAAAAACTTTCGAAAATTTTTGTTTGATTATTTTTTTCTGTTTTTCTAGTTTTTTTTTCTACAAAACTGTTTTTCAATTTACTTAATTTAGTATGGCTGTCGTTAGTATTTAGTATGGTATAGTCAATTTGCAGTTTTTGTTCAGCTCCTTTTATCACACTGCGCCGAAAAAAATGACAATAATTTAAAAAAACTGTTGCATTTAATTAAGATAATGCTCGGAGCTACTTGCACAGTAACCGGCTATCCTTGTTTAAAATGATATTAGTCAGAAGTTGATGTCGGCTCAAAATGCTGGATCCATACCGGAAAAAAATAGACTCTTTGCTTGAGAGGCCAAACATCATTTGACAAAAAAGAATCCAAAAACAGATTTAAAAATCTTCTTTTCTTGCTTCTCTTGAAAGCTGATAATTAATTGGCTTCATCATTTGCTGATCTTTAGATGACGAATCTACGTGGCCGGATTTTTTCGGTAAAGTTATCTCAAAATGCCACGCCATCGTGAATGAAGCCAATTCATCCGGAGAAAGAATTGAAGGTGAAGCTGAAAATCCGAGTACTCAACTCAAAGAATCCATCACTGCTTTCATATCCTGTCAGTTATGCCAGAAGATTTTCGATGACCCCAGAATTCTGCCTTGTAGTCACACTTTCTGTTTGGACTGTTTGAAAACATCGAAAACAGATAATGAGCCGGAGCCATTTTGCTGCCCAAAATGCCGATTGGAATGTTCAGCCGAACCCGAGGACCTGCCGCCGGACTTTAAAGCCAACCAGATGATTGAGGCACATGAAATTTTGATGACCAACAAAGTCGAGGAACCTTTGGTGCGGACGGAAGTGCAAAGTACAAATTCTAGTCAAGGTTATATATACTAAAAATTGAAAGCAGTAAGCTTAATATCATTTGATTGGTAAGCGGAGCATCAGTTTTCAATATTTTATTAGTGCAAATTATGAGGTGTAAAATTTTACTTCTGTTAAAATTCTTGACTGAAGAGGGTCATCGAAAAAATGAACGGTTTTCTACTCTTCAATTATAACATACGTATGATTATGTGTCGTTTAAGGTACATTTGGGAGGCAAGAGACATTCCCAGATGATGTGGTTGAATGGTTTACAGAGCATTCAGTGCCTACAGATGCCCAAAAGAATTCTGTTCAATGACGGGTTTGAATTCATGAACTTAATTCTTGGTCTAACTCGAGATGATATTGATAAGCTAGGGTTCAAAACCGGTCATAAGCGGCTCATTTGGGATGTGCTAAAGACTACTCGTGGAGACTCCGAGGAGCCCCCGCAGTCACCATTCGCCGTCGGAGGAATCAGAGACAAATCTATTTCTTGCGTTGAGAGTCCTCAAGTTAGACAGCAAGTCAAAAACGCTGCTAATCCGACCGACGTGAATTTGAATGACCCTAAATGGCTAATTCTAGATTGCATATACGACGAGCGACCTCTGTTTTCGGGAACTCAGCCAGCAGATTCGCAGAAGTTTTGGGCGAGTTTGACTGAAAAAGAGCGCAACGAGTTTGTCTCGAGGTTCAAAACTTCGGCTGATAAAATTCAATTATGTCAAAACGTTGATGATTTGGTCAAAAGTGAGAAGCTTCGAAAAGTCGCTATGGTTCTTTGCGATGCTGGAGAATACGAGTCGGCTGAGGCTATTGCATTAGTTGCAGCAAGTTTTTTGAGCCGAGAAAGCGAATTTTACTGCCTCATGAAAGCAATTTTGTGCTACGCTACTATTCATAAACTGAAATTGCCGATGTACGTCAGTGAAAATCCGGCAGACGATGCTGAAAAATGGAAGGGGCTGTTCCGGGCGTTGGAGGAGGTCATAGAGGCAGCAATGGGCGACGGGAGAACTATAAGTACTGAAATGTACATCAAAATGAACATCATGAAGATGTTTACGATTGGGAGCATCAAAAATACCGGATGGTGAGTCAAAAACAATCATAAATCAAAACAAGAATAGCCGGTTACTGTGCGCAGAATGTTTGGACCATAGTCTTAAGAAAATACAACAACATCATTTTTCAAATTAGAGTCGTTTTTTCGGCGTGGTGTCATAAAAGGGTCTGAACTAAAGAGTAGAGCCTAAGCATATTCGACAGTTAAGAAAAATATGCATATTAAATAAAATCAATTTTTGTAGAAATGACCAGAAAAACACAATATTAAAAAAAACACAATTTTTTTCATTTTTTTTTCATTTTCTTAAAAGGGAAGTTTTTTGTGACCGCGCTTAACTCAAACCCTAAAATATCTCACAAAAAATAAGTAAAAGATGAATTAGCCAAATTGAATTAATTCTGGAAACGGCACAAGTTGCAGAATTTGTCGATATAAATGGATAAATCATTCAACAAAACTGACACATTCACGCTTAACGTGTTAACATAACAGCATTTTTGTGATATACGGTAAACCACATACAGAAGACGCCAATAACCTGCCAGACAAGGTCAATTTGATGTTTTAATATTAGTTTTAGTTAGACATACAATTTGGTTCGGGAAAAAGCATTGATTTTTTGGGGGATCAATTATGCGCCGAAACGGTCTGGTCCGTTTTTTATGCCTTGTTCTAGACCACTCGGCCAACTGATCTTCATTTAGTTCCATTTACTCGGTTTTATATTCTCGCTTATGAGAGGTTATTTGCGTGGCATCATTTTTGATTCAAAAAAGGCGCTAAAATACTAAAATTAACCACTTTTATTTAAGTAAAACTATTTTTTTCGGGCTTGAATTAAGCTTTTGTAACTTTTAAGCCATTAAAATAAGCTATTGAAGCCTGCTCGCGCGCTTTATTCGCTCGAAAAAGACGAAAAACTAAATTTTAAACCGGTTTTCCCGACACTTGGAAAATTCTTTCAAATTTTTTAATGTCGTTGGAATCATGGCTGAAAATGCTTAAGGTGATGTATTACTTGTGGTAGCTGAAAGCAAACAAAAATTACAAGAACACACTCGAATACAAAATTCCTCCTGGTTTTTCAAGTGTTCGGAACAATAAAACAGGTAATTGAAACTTTGATGAAACTTTGATTTAAAAAAAATCATGATAGAGGAGAGCAATTGGCAACTCGAAACAAACTGACATTCTTGTTGAAATGATTGATTACGAAAGCTGAATAATTATTATGTTATTTGGTTAGAAATGAACCTGCCATAATTTTAGGTTCCCGCACCGGAGTTCTATGAATCATAATCGATTATATTGAGTTTTCGCGGTCTGTCTCAAAAAATTTCGATAATAATCGATTAAAAATGGATTACAATGAAACATTTTTTTTTAAAACAGTAAAATCCAAATATAATCAATTATAATCAATTGAATCGATTTTAATCGTTCATAAACGGATTTTTGCAAGTAAATGAAGCTTATATTCGGATTTTTGAAAGAAAATGAAACTTGTTTTCAAGGCAAAATAATCCATTATAACCAATTATAATCGATTTTAATGGATTTTTTCGAGAAATTAGTCATGAAATATACAATTTTTTTTTGATGGTTATTGCATTTCCTGTTTAGTGCGGTTTTTTTGGCTGCATAAAAAGTTGCATTTCACTTTTCAATCTTTATAATTTGCTCTTATATACCCCGTTTACCCCTTCACTGCCCCCCCAACCCGTTTATAATTTGGTCTCATATACCCCGTTTACCCCGTCCCTGCCCCCCCCCCATTTCCTCCCTGTTTACACCCCCCCCCACTCCGTTATCCTCCCTGTTTACACCCCCCCCCCC